AGGACCACCTGTGCTCCTGTAAAGTGGATCCAAGGCCTGGCACAATCAGGAGGACTGAGAAGGGGAGGGGGTGGGGGTGTTGCAGGGGCACCCACGTGGGTAGCTAGTTCTCACTGGGCCCAGGCAGGCTAGAGGGAGAATGGATCTGGATCGGCTGTCTTGGACCTTCACCTTCCACCTTACTTCTGCTAGATGCTGAATGTGATGCAGGCTCATAATCTCATATTGATTTCCACTGTGGTTTCACCAGTCTGCACTCCCACCAAAAATGAGAAGGGTTCATGTCTCCACACATCCCTGCCAACATTTATTGTTGGTTGATTTCTTGATAACAGCCATTCTTTCTGGGGTGAGGTGAAATCTCAGTGTTGTTTTCTTCTGCATCTCTCGGATGATCAGTGATGTTGAATTTTTTTTCATATATTTATTTGTTGGTTTTACTTCTTTGTCTAAAAAATGGCTGTTCATTTCAGATTTCCAGTTTTGAATCATGTCTTTAGATTTGAGGGGCCTGCCTTTTTTGTTATTTATACATTCTAGATAATAATCCTTTGTCTGTGGCACAGATGGTAAACATTTTTTCCCACATTGTAGGTTGTCTCAGCGCTGCTGGTGGTTTCTTTTGAAGTGCAGAAGATTTTAATAAGATGAAATCCCAGCTGTTGATTCTTTGTGAAAATTCCCAAGCTACTGAGAATTTGTTCATAAAGCATTTTTCTATGCCAATGTCTTCAATAGTTCTACCTAACTTATCTTCCAGAAAATTTAGTGTTTCTATTTTAATATTTAGGTCTTTAATCCACTTGGATTTTAGTTTAGTGCATGGTGAAAGATAGGTTCTAGTTTTAATCTTTGGCAAGTTGAAATCCAGTTTTTCCAACACCATTTATTAAAGAGGCTATCTTGCCTCCAGTGAGGATCCTTGGCTCCTTTGTCAAAGATGAGGTAGTGGAGTATTCTAGAGTTGTTTCTGCACCTTCTACTCTATTCCTCTGATGCTCAGGTCTGTGTCTTTGCTAGTACCATTCTGTTTTTATCGCAATGGCTTTGTAGTATAGTTTCATGTTGGGGGTTGTGATACCTCCTGCCATGTCTTTGTTGCCTAGGATGGCTTTTGGTATTCTAGGTCTCTTCTAGTTCCAAATGAATTTTTGCATTATTTTCTCCAGTTCTCTAAAATATACTGTTGTAGTTTCAATTGGGATTGTACTGAATCTGTAGATCAGTTTTGGTAGTATGGTCATTTCACTATGTTGATTCTTCCTACTCAGGATCAAGGGATATCTTTCCATTTTTTTTTTGCATCTTTTTGATACCTTTTTTCAGAGTGATGTAGTTTTCAGTGTAGAGTTCTTTTGCTTCTTTCATTAGATTGATTCCTAGGTAGTTCATTTTTTTGGATGTTATTGTGAAAGGAATTGTTTTCCTTATTTCTCACTCAGTGGGTCTGTTTTTATGTACAAGAAGGCTACGGGTTTTTGAGTGTTTCCTTGTATCCAGCTACTCTGATAAAAGTGTCAATTAAGTCTAGAAGTCTTTTGGTGGATTTTTTTGGGTCTTCAATGTAGAGTATCATATCATCAGCAAATAATGGCAGTTTAACTTCTTTTCTTGTCTTTATTGCTTTAAATTCTTTCTCTTGTCTAATTGCTGTAACTAATATTGACAGAATTATATTGAAGAGGAGTGGTGGTAGTGGATATCCTTGTCTTGTTCCTCATTTTAACATGAAGGTTTTCAGTTTTTGGCCATTTAATATGATGTTGGCTGTTAGTTTTTCATAGATACCCTTTATTAAGTTGAGATAGAGACCATATATTCCAACTTTTTGCAGGGTTTCTTTCATGAATGGGTGTTGAATTTTGTCAAATGCTTTTTCTGCATCTATTGAGAGGATCATATGGTTTTTATCCTTGACTCTGTTAATATAGTGTATTACATTTATTGACTTACATACATTGAACCATTCTTGCATCCCTGGAATAAATTTGACTTGGTCAGGATGCATGATTTTCTTTATGATCCTCTGTATTCTGTTTGCTAGTATCTTATTAAGGATTTTTGCAACTATATTCATAAAGGTGATTGGTTAGGTATTTCTTTTCTGGTTAGGTATTTCCCTGGTTTGGGAATCAAAGTAATGCTTGCTTCCATGAATGAATTTGAAAGTATTGTTTTCCTTTCAATTTCATTGAAAACTTTTAAGCATACTGGCAGTAGTTCTTCTGTAAATGTCCTGTAAAATTAAGCAGTAAATCCATCAGGACCTGGGCTTTTCTTTGTTGGTAAACTTTTACTGACATTTTCAATTTCATCGATTGTAGTTGTGTTTAGAATTTTTTATCTTCTTCATTCAACTTTGGTAATTTGTAAGTCTCTAGAAATCTGTCCATTACTTCTGTGTTTTCCATTTTATTAGAGTGCAGGTTCTCAAAGTAGGTACTGACGATCCTAATTTTAATTCCTAATTTCATGGGTCTGAGCCATTTCTTTCCTTTTTTT